CACCAGCATAGTCTGGGGAGGGGGTACTGTGGGTTGAGAATGAGGGGTAGGGCTGGGGGCTGTGCTTTGGGAGCGAGGGGCAGGGGTAGGGCATGGGCATATCGCTGCCCCCCCACAATCATATTATGCCCTCCCCTTGACAGGTGTCCTCTTTTTGAAACTGGAAATATGGTAACCCTAGGGGATGCAGATGGTGTGGTGCAGTCAGTCAGTCAGTCTGTCCTGAGACCACACTGACTGTTGGGGCACCTTCAATATAGCAATAACTTTCCTCCATTCTTCCCGGTCTTTTGCAATCCTTGTACAATCAGTTAGTTTTAATCCCATCCAGTCTTTGATTTCATAGATTTCATAGACATTTGGGCTGGAAGAGACCCCGGAGGATCGAGGAAGGGGCAGGAAGTCAGCAGGGATCATAGGATCCCAGCAAGATAAGCATCCAAATGTGTGTTGAAGGTGTTCAAAGTAGGTGCTTGAACCGCCTCCAGTGGCAGTCTATTCCAGACCTTGGGGGCTCGGACAGTGAAGAAGTTCTTTCTTATGTCCAGCCTGAAACAGTCGCGGTGGAGTTTGTGACCATTTGATCTTGTCATCCCTTGGGGTGCTCTGGTGAACAGATGTTCCCCCAGATCCTGATGAGCACCCCGATAAACTTATAGGTAGCCACCAGATCACCCCTGAGCCTGCGCTTTTCCAGGCTACAGAGCCCCATAGCATCTATGGATGCAAGCCAGTGTTTTGCTTGCTTTACTAGCTGCAGCATCACACTGAAGGCTCATGTTCATCTTGTGGTCAATCATGACCCCCAAGTCCCTTTCATCTGTAGTGCTAACCAGCGTAGCACTACCGAGCCTATAAGCATGCTGCAGGTTTTTCCTCCCGAGGTGGAGAACCTTGCATTTTTCAGTGTTAAACACCATCAGGTTCTCGTCCGCCCATTCCCTGAGCCAGTCAAGATCTGCCTGGATCACCCTCCTGTCCTCAGGTGTGGATGCTTTATCCCAGAGTTTGGTGTCATTGGCAAACTTGGCCCGTCTGCTTCTGACACCAATGTCCACATCATTGATGAAGATGTTGAATAGTATAGGCCTTAGGACAGAGCCTTGGGGGACCCCACTGGTCACAGCGCACCAAGATGATTAACTCCCATTGACCACCATCCTCTGGGTCCTACCACAGAGCCAATTCCCCAGCCAGTGGATCATGGTGAGGTTGAGGCCGCAGTTAACCAGTTTAGCCAAGAGGTGATCGTGGGATACCAGATCAAAGGCTGTTTAAAAAGGGCCCAGCAATGGCATAAGTCTCATTAGAGTCCTGGCTCTGGTGCGAGACATGCAGGTGTAAGCCTGCTGCGCCCCTGTGAGCATAGGGACCCCAGCAGCGACCCTAGGACCCCCGATGAGTCCCAGGCTGCCCGCAGGTAAGCAGGGCCCACGGAGGGAGGGATCTAGTCAGCTGGGAGCAGGCTAAGTGGGCCAAGGAGGGTCATGCCCCCCCCCCGGCTCCTACTTCGCCCAGCCCCCCAGGGAGCTGTGTGACTGGAGCCTCGCAAACAGGCTGCGCAAACAGGTGTGCTCCTGGACCTGGCATGCAAGTTAGCATGGGAGTTTGCACAGGAGGGTGCGTGGGAGGGCCTGAGGCCCTGCCTGTGAGCCCGACGACAGCCCCAGCTGTACCCAGCCCACCAGAGGCATGACACGGATGGGCACGCGCCGCACCCCGAGGGTCCCCTTGGGGTCTGCAGCCCCCCCCGGCACCTCGGAGACCGCCACCCAGACGCAGCCCATGGTCCTGGGCTCCATGCAGATGGAGCCCCTGGCTCTCAGCTGCGGGGGCTGCCTGTCGCTTTTTCAGGCTCTGCGACCCGGGAGCATGGCCACTTCCCCTTGTGGGGTCTGCTCCCTACTGGGGTCTTTGGCACGCCAGCTGGAGAAGCTCCAGGCTGCAGTCCAGAGACTGCATGCCATCAGGGACTGTGAGCAGGAAATAGACTCCTACTGACAGGCCCTTCTCCCCTGGGAGGCGGAGGGTAGACCACGGTCTCCCTCCAGGACAAGGGAGGACTCGGGGACCTCCCTTACTGTCCAGCCCAGTCCTGGTGTGGTGCATCATCACATATAAAATAAGTCACATTCTTCTCCACTTAAAAACAAAGTAGAAGCTTTACTAATATGCTAGGAACCTAGGACTGTATTATTCAGTATAAAATTGATGCAAAAACAAATGTAACTTAATTGTAATGGTTTAAAAATAATCTGCAGGGATGTGAAATAGGAGCTACATTACCAGGGGACAGGAGAATTGCAGAACAAAGGGTAACTTGTTTGGTGTAACATCAAGACCATTAAAAAGAAGAGAAGGTTTGTAACAGGCTGGATAGCATAAGCTTGCAGCAGCTTGCACACTCCCAGCTGTAGGAGCCTGCAGGTTGGCAGGGACTACAGCTGAGTTGAAGGCAGAAACACTTTTTGCAGGCTGCCTAGGAAAAGTAGGCCAGCTGCAGAGGATAATTAGCTGGCCCACAAGAAATGAAAAGCCTGCTGAGTAGAGGCAGAAACAGTGACAGGGGGCTTGAATACCTGTGGGCCTTTTAAGATGGATAAGCCTAAAATCACCATTTTTAAGGATATTAAGGGCATGTGTCCACATGCGCATGCCCTTATTTCACCTTTAAAATGGTAACTTTAGGCTAATCCTGTTTAGGCTTGCATAGCTAAGTCACATTAGCTCACATGTAGTTGCTGAATGGACACGTACAATGTGAATACGCATTAGTGTGGCTACATGTGGGCTAATGTGACTCTAGCTATGTGATCTTAAATTTAATGCTCCTTAATATGCATTAGCACGTCACATGTGGACATGCACCTAAATTGCCTTAATGCACCTTAAACAAAGGTGCTTTAAGTTTAGGCTTGTGTACATCCACATGTGGACACACCCAGAGAGAGGAAAGGGAGAGGCTGAGGGTGAAGGTGCTTGGCTAGTGGTGGCAGAACTGAACCAAGGACTCTCACAGGGTCTGGTAAGAGACCCAAGATGGCAAGGCTGGAGGCAGCAGTGCCTCAAGGCTATGAGAGAGGACACAGTTGAGTGAGAGGAGGACTGTATCATGGTGCTGAAGTAGCATCAGAAAGCTGGCAACACGTTCTCAGGACCTGGCGAGGCCCCAGGACTGTGAGGCCCCCTCTATAGACTATGTTCGGTGTGTTGTTGAGCACTGATTGAAGTAGGAGGCTTACTGTGGGGCAAGTGTGTCTAGGAAAAAAGAAAACTATTTGAGCTAAGCAAATCCCTGAACGCACTATAGGGTTGTTAACACCTGTGGAATGAAGAGTTTAGAAGTGATCAGGTAGATTATAATGAGCCATGAAGTCAAGTGACTCCTTCACTGCTGTCTGACTAGAAATGCTGCTGCCACTATCTGGCAGTTGGCTTTAATCTTTGGGTGGAGCAGGGATCAAAGAGGGTGTGACTGCACCCAGTACACCCATCCTGGATCCACCCCTCCCAAATGTTATGTGGAAAGGCAAGTGAATCATGAGGAGGCTGCTGACTGACATTCACTTAAATATGTGATGGGACCAGATCCCTAATCCCAACAATAACACCTCCGGCCATGCAAAACATACATGGCACCCTACTTCCGGGTGCAGGGAAAGTGTGGGAACCTGGCTCTCTTTGCACCAGTAAGCACAAACCCAGGTGTCGAGTGCAGCTATGCAGTCCTGGGGCTGGGACCGCCTAACAGCTGATTGGCAGTCTTAGCACGCTGGCCACACATGCAGTTTGAGGCATGATGGAGACCAGCCACAAAATTACTACACACATTTTTATGGAATCATTTTGTGGCTTATTCCCCCTTTCATTGTGCTGTTCATTGCATGAATGTGTGGCTGGGCCACCGTTTCATGTGTGATTAAATGACTAATTGCTACTTAGGACATGATTCAATGCGTTATGCCTGCCAAGAGCCTGCATCCAGGAAACAGCAATGAACTCATTGCGTTTCCATCAGCAGCTTTTGACACCTCGGATTTTCATGATGCCAAGCTCAGTGTTTCCATCACATGGCTGCGCATACGTGTACAAAGGTGGATTTAGAGGGGGAGGGGGCACTCCCCTTTGGTTCCTGTTCTACCCAAAATAAAAAAACCCAACTTCCTGGGAGAGCCAGTGGAATTTGTATTCAGAGAGCACTGAGTCAATTTGACATCATGGCTCATTATCATCTACCTGATTCATGATTACATCTCTTCATACCATGGCTGTTAACAACTCTCTCTCCTTTTTAATGGTCTTGATGTTCCACTGGTCAAACTATCCTTTTTTCTGCAATATGCTCTCTGTTAGCCACTCCTGGTAATGTCCTTCTTCTATTTCAGAGCCCTGCAGGCTGTTTTTAGCTCTAGCTAAAAAAACCCTTAACTCGGGTGTGGTAATATTAACTCAGGTGTAGAAATTACTGACAGCAAAGTATTAGAGGCACTGTTAAGACACCCACGAAGGATAGAATTTTGTTTTACGAAATGTAATAAGAGATGAGCATTTAACTTTATGACTACAGGGCTAGCAAAATATCTTTTGACTATTTTGACCATTTTTCCCTAGTTCCTTGTGTTTGTTAAGCTTAGCCTAGCAAATCACTGAGCATTCCAGTAAAGTTATCTTTAGTTTTGCCTTGATCATAAACTGAATAATATAGTGCTAGGCCCCTAGCCTATTAGTAAAGCTTCTCATTTTTCTTTAACTGGAGGAAAATTGTGTGTTGTGCTTATATGTTCTGAATCACCGCACCATCTGCACTCCCATTTTCAAAGTCCTAGATCCTCTCACGTATGTATACACCTGCAGGAAAGCATATTCAGTTTCTTGGAAGCTTGGGACTGGGAAGATGATGCCCATAGACAGCAGCCAAGGTGTGGCAGCTCACTTGCTGGTCTGTCCTCCCCGCTCCTGCTCATGCAGGTGGCTCTGACTCCACTGTGTTCTCTCCCCAGGTGAGCGAGTACACAGTGCCCTGTGAGAAATCTCTGGGTCCAATCCTGCTCATCCGGGTCAGCAAGGAGCCACACTGCTTCTTACCTGAGAATATCTGGTACTGCAACATCATCCGAGTGACATCCCCTGGGGGAGAGACCTACAACTTCCCCTGCTACCAATGGATCGAGGGCTACCGCACATTTGAGCTGCCCGAGGGGACAGGTAGGATACCTGGCCATGTGCCCGGACTCCTGGGTTCCATTCCTG